TTTTTTGACTTGAAAGCACCCTGTGATCGGTACTTTGCCAATGCGGTATAACTAGAACACTTTGACTGGTCAAGCTGTATTGCCCTGCTTTTAGGTTCCACAACTTGTGGTTTAGCCATGAGAGCAGATGTTTCATTGTTGACTCAGAACATGGATTGAGGATGTGTCAAAATTGCACGGTTGGGGACGTCGATCGGACTAGGTTTAGTCTAGTGTGTTCTGGCAGTGATTCCTGATTGACATTCGATCAACTTGCTGCAAAAGTAGTAATGTTTGCCACAGCTCTTTTGTCAGCTTTCTGGTCAGAGAGCCTTTTGGCCAACGGAGCAACCTAAAGATGACACAGATTTCGCTAGACCTTCAACGTGGAGTTTTGGCGGTTTCGATCCCTGATGCAGTGCAGAGCCTGAATTTGCAAGACGATCCGGACTGTTCCCGAAGCTGATAATGTGTACCATGCCGCACCTTTGAGACAGAATCTGAACCATGCTTTTGGATGGTGATCTTGATAGACAGTGTTGCTGTGATAGCACAACAGAATCTTGCGATTGTCCTCCACAGCCGTCTCACAGACCGTTGCCCTGGCGAGCCTTTCTGCCAACATCAATTTTCATTGCCGACTGCTGGTGAGCACATGTGTACTCTTAAAGTCATATGGCCCAGCCGATAGCCCTTTTTTGACTTGAAAGCACCCTGTGATCGGTACTTTGCCAATGCGGATAACTAGAACACTTTGACTGGTCAAGCTGTATTGCCCTGCTTTTAGGTTCCACAACTTGTGGTTTAGCCATGAGAGCAGATGTTTCATTGTTGACTCAGAACATGGATTGAGGATGTGTCAAAATTGCACGGTTGGGGACGTCGATCGGACTAGGTTTAGTCTAGTGTGTTCTGGCAGTGATTCCTGATTGACATTCGATCAACTTGCTGCAAAAGTAGTAATGTTTGCCACAGCTCTTTTGTCAGCTTTCTGGTCAGAGAGCATTTTGGCCAATGGAGCAACCTAAACATCACACAGATTTTGCTAGACCTTCAACCTGGAGTTTTGGCGGTTTCGATCCCTGATGCAGTGCAGAGCCTGAATTTGCCAGACGAACCGGACTGTTCCCGAAGCTGATAATGTGTACCATGCCGCACCTTTGAGACAGAATCTGAGCCATGCTTTTGGATGGTGATCTTGATAGACGGAGTTGCTGTGACAGCACAAATGAACCATCTAAGACCGTAGGTATCATGGACCTTACAGATGTTCTCTGGACTGGCTAAGAAGGGGAAGAGGAGAGAAACTGGTTTCAGGAAAGACGATCAGAGCAACTTTTGCTCGGCTTTGTTGTCAAAAAAGTCACTTGACCAGAATGCTTTGAGAGCTCAAATTGAGTTGTCTTACTCCTCCGGCCGGGCACCTTGGGTCTTGTCAAGGGTTATGGATGGTGCGCTCTTGAGTCAGAGCATGAACTGAGAATTGCTCAAGTCTGCTGAATTGCTAGAGTCATCCTGGGTTCAGTCCTTTGTCGTGTCTCTTGTCCTGACCCGTCTGCCATGTCAAAAGCATGTTTGAGCAGCTGGAATGCTTAGTAGTAAACTGTGAACCATTGCCATGCCGTTCATGCGTCAAGTGAGATCCTTGTGTCAAGTGCGACCATTCCCTTCGTCGCTTCACACTCTCGGCTTCGTTTGCACCGGTGGCCGCCACGCTGCAACGAATGCGCTGAAGACGGGTCTCCTGGCTGACTTGGAAGGTCGCCACTCGCTCCTACGCACGCCGACTCTGTGGAGAGCGGCGTCTTGGAGCGTAGAGGACGCTTCCAGAGTCAGTGTGCTGGTCTGGTCTCGCACCACAGTAGCTCTTGTTCCATAAAATGCTCATTAGTTGGCCTTTCTCTGTCCACAAGACCTCGGAACGCAGAACAAAGAACTAGAGGCTTCGAGCGAACGAAGCACAGCAACCCAGAACGGAACTAAGATTGGTGGACATTGCCATGGAAGATGTTCAGGCCCTCTCTGCATGCTAAGCTCTTGGGTTGTCGCCCATTTCTCCAAGAGTCAGTCAGTGTTCATCCGACTGTTTGAAATTCCAGAAATCGTGGGTCCTGCCGTTGCACTGTGTGCCAGTGCAACTCATGGGTAGCCAACACTGTCAGTGTCAGACTGTGCAGTTTGCTTGAAATTTGCAAAGTTTATCACATTGAAGGACCAGGTTCACCCCAATCCTTGCTCGTTCTTGCTTCAACTGCTTCTGCAAAGCCGCTTGCGGCGAGTGGATCAATACATTCGATCCAATTGAATGGCTTGGTAGCACGTACTAGCTTCCATGGCTTAGCCATGCCTACGTCGGTGAACTCCACAAAGGCTCGAGAACTCCACTCTCTCCCTGTTGGAGACGCTGAATCACAGATGCTGACAGCTGGAGGAGGTTTATGTTCTATGCTAACAGATGCGAGATTCATAAAGTCTAGACTTTCACAAGAGTTTAATCCTGCTTCAGCTTGAGAGACTGATTGGTCGCCTCTTCCTGTCAGCTTATTTGAGGCAAACCATGCGATAGGCAGATAGTGATAAACAGTGATCTCTGGCAGTCTGACACTGTTGTCTGTGATAAGCAACTACCACAGACTGATGTCTGGTGCTGTGTGGTGAACCGTGAGTCATTTGTTTGAAAAGTGGCTTATGCTGCCAGCTGCATCAGGGCCGCCAGGGCCTGCCTCCGTCAAAGTGTCTTCTAGCACTTCATAGTTCTGAGGGACGTCCATGGCTCTCAAAGCATGATGTTTGCCACCCAGTTTCTGCAACCGGTCTATTCAGAGCTGCAGATGGTTCATTTTTTGGATCAGATGGATTGAGAATGCCATGTGGTCATATTGCTGACTTCTATGAGACTGGGTTTGCAGGTTGCCCTTTCGCCTGAATGTGCCCCTGCGAGTATTAGATTGAACCTGTGACTGAGAAAGTGCGGTGTATGACCATTGTGAGCAGCCAAGCATAAGGTCAGGTTTCTTGCACTTGATCAAGTCCACCGGAGAGGACAAAAACAGACGTTTACGTCTTCGTCAGTGGAATGCAGACGGGGTCCCAATCTCGTGCCGGCCAGGAGATCCCTGGTGTTGGTCTCCTTGCTCCTAGTAGCGATGCCAGGAGCCCCTAGTAGCGATGCCCTTGTCCCTAGTAGCGTCCTCTACCCCGTGGGTCTGCAAGCAGTGTTGGGACTTGACTGATTTTGTCCGTTTGATGCTTTTCGCCAGGAAGGATGGTGGGTCACTGACAAGTGGCTCAATCGCTTCCAGACACGATCCATGAAAAGACGGGTGGAAATGGGCTCTGAACACTAAAATGAAGATGTCTGGCAGTTTGACACCTGGTCTTAGCTGGGTCTTTTGTTTTGATGTCAAGGCAGTCAAACAAATGGTTCCTAATGGCTTAAGTCCATGCCTTTCGCACTCGAAGACTGCTTCCACCAAAATCTGCAGAATCCTGCACTCTTCGCTGTCAAAGGATGAAGGTGGTGAGGGTGGCGGATCGTGGGCAGATCGGTTTCACTGGGCTCGTGCTTCGGTGACTGAGACGGTCGGCCTGAAGCGGGTGCCGATGGGTTCAGACGCTTCGCTACTCGGTTTCGGGCGGGGCCTGAGGGGCTGACGGCTTGGACTGCTCTGAAGCCTCGAGCCTGGGAGCTGCGAGGGCTCCGGGATTGGTCGCTTGGTGACAGATGCATCGGGGAGAGCAAGAGGGTCAGATGCTGTTTGGATTGTTCATGGCCTAAATCTTGATCCAAGAATATGCACAGGCGGAGCCGCGGCTTAAGTTGATCTCATCAATTTGATGTGGTTCTATAAATTGAATTCTTGGACAAGAACGGACCTCATAAATGAGGTGACCAGGAGTGAAAAAAGGCAGGCAGATGTGACCCTGTGGCCTAAGTGGTGGCGGATGAACGTGGGTTTTAGTCTTTTGCAGCCGTGTTTAGACAGGAAGACATTGCAAGTAAAGTGAGTTCTCCTCCAAAACTATCCAAATCAATGTGCTCCCATAGCTGCAACTAGGTCAATGAGGCCAGAGCCATAAAAGGAACCTTGTGTGATTTTATGGCTTGACTCGTGCTTGGGGGCCCCTGGTCGATGGTGAGCCTATGGAGGCCCTGATCCCACTGCCCTGATGTCCGCACTTGGCAGTTCGGTGGGCTGCAGCTCAGCCGCACGGGAGACTCGTGGCCTCTCGTGGTCTCGACCAGCGAACCGGAGTGGCCTAAAACGACAAATTGATTTTATGCCGCACCCCAGACATGCGGCAACTTGATAGCAAGACCTAGTTCTTTGGTTGAGGTGAAGGTAATTCCTTTGCCAACGAAGTGGAATTTGCCAAGTTGCAAGAGCCACTGCGGAAGCGACCGCGATGGAAGACTATGAATTTGATGGAAGCGTTGGAGGAGCAGGCTCTTTTGCAGCTGATGGAAAGCCTGTCATACAGAGGACTCTTGATGAAATCACCAGCGACCGGTGCGCAGCGACCGGTCTCCGAGATGCGCGGGGCGCGACCGGTCCGAGCCGACCGGTCCTTCAGAGCCCTCCGTCGACCCGGACCGGTAGGGACCTTGGTAGGTAGGGCCGGAGAGATGGTCAGCCTTACCATCGGTCCAGCGAAATGGCCATCGGTCCAGAGAAAGCTCTAGCTTGACCAGCTTGACTGTCATGGCAAGTCCTTTCTTGATTGGAGTGTGTGATCTGCAAGGACTTGTGCCTGCACGGTTTGATGTTGAGTTGATGCAGGGATGGCTGTGCACTTGGCAAATGAATTGGGAGACAGTCCGTACCGAGTGATGGGGGTTGCAGCGTATTGCGATAGTGTTTGCCACGTCTCATGTTCTGCGTCATTCCGACTTCCCGAAATCGCTCGCCCAAGGTCACAACGAAGGGTCCGGTTGTCATTGTAGCGGTGTAGCTTCCTGTTGTTCCAGCCATTTCTGAAGCCGTGGCAGCAGGCAAATAACTGCAATGACTCTGATGAGGTGTTGCAGGATCAAGCGCTTTTGGAGCTGGTGAGGGGAAGCCCGTCATGGAGGAGCTTTTCATGATATTTGCACAGAAGCCTGCTGGCTAGATGACAAGTTTATTCGGAGCCAGGCACTGCTCAGGACCCAGTCACAGTCACCGTTAGTAGTGTCCAAGACACTGTCATCACGGATTTGGATCTCCGGTCCACAGAAATGCCAGCTATAGCTTGACTAGCTTGACTGTCATGGCAAGTCCGTTCGTTGTGATTAGAGTGTGTGATCCAGGACTTGTGCCTGCAGGAGTAGATGCTGAGTTCTCCACCAGTATGGTACTTCCTCACCACCCAACCTTGCCAAACCAGTTGGTTGCGATTTTGATTCTACATGAAAGACCTTCAGCTATTTTTCGCTTGTGCTAAAGAAGTCGGTACGAGGTCTTTCCCCTGGTCTTCAGATTTAGTGTCTCGAAGGTTTCAGAGAACTGCAGCAACTAGCCTAGACTCCGAGATCAAGGCAGAAAGAATGTGCTTGCAAATGATAAACCACTGTCAAAAGCTTAGCCTGGCTGTGGATTGGGGACTCATTGAGTTTAGGGCACCGTTCAAGAACAGGTGGAATGGCCGCGTGGCTTGTGAGCGTGCCGCGTGCATTTGCGTGTCTTTCAGCCAAAGGACAGAACGGGCGCACGCGGCGCACCGTGGTTTCATCCAACAAACGAGTCGCACTGGCGTTTCACATCAGTCGTACTGCCTTTCACCCAGTCAGAGGCACTAAGTCACCTGGGCGCACGGCCTGGGCGCAGCCGCTGCTGGCTTCAGTAGTTGATGTGGAATGAGACTGGCAATGGGTCAGAGTGAAGGGTGCGATGGAACTTTACTGAACTGCTCACAGGAGTCTGGACAGGACTGGCCAAATATGTTTTGGGCCTTTCAAGATTAGCTAGAGTGCAGGAAACCTTGGTTGTCAGACAGGAAGGTGCTTTTAAGACTTCAGTCCAAGTTGTGCCAAGGCCGAAGAGCCGCCTTTGTTAAACGCCGACTCAGGCTTCTTGAGACAGCATCTGCACACATAAGACACAATCTTGCTGGCTCCTAAGATCTTTGGAGTCTAGTGACAGCCCGCTGTGCTGCGAGGCGCTTCTGGCCAGCAAAGCCTGCATATTAGTTGCGGAATAAGGGATTTGACTCTAGTAAAAGTTGATTGCACTTTTCTTCGCTTAGAGGTGTTTCCAGTTGCACCACCCTGCTGATATGGTCTGCAAGATTGACAGAGACGTCGGTAGGTCTACCAACTCATGCGCTGCTCATCAAGCAGTCCAGGAGATCTGCGGTCAGAGTTGCTGTGCACGTACTTAGTTCAGGGGATCAAACAGACGAAGAAATATCATGTGCCTGAACTTGCACGTAGCCTCCTTCATAGAGACACTTTCTGGATACTGGGCACTGCTAGGGTGTGCGCCAAGATTTAGATGGCTTTCCGAGTGATCCAGGTCAATCAAGCGAGTCTGATGGGTGACTGCTGACCACAGCTTGAGATGCAGAACTTCGCTAAGGTTGCCATTGGGAAGGACATTCCTTTGATTTTGACCTTTAGATCTGGAGCACACTTCTTGTCCTTTGGGTCCCAAAGGTTTGGTTGAGCTCGCTGCAGGATTTAGCTCTTGCAAGCCGATCAACCTAGTACCAAACTTGGCCAATTGCAGCCCAAACAAGCCTTCGTTGCTCCGACAGCATGTTCCAGCCATTTCCGAGAAGCCACACCTGCCACGCCTCCATTTCTCTTTCCTTCGAGAATGGCTGAGAAGTGTTCAACGACTTCCCCGGAGAAAGTTCTGTGAGCCAAAGTCATGACAGTTCTGCCAGGGTCCTTGTGAGGACCAAGCAGCATGTGACTGTGAGGACGAGCTTTTCACGGCGATCAACATGTCCACCTTGAATGTAGGACACAGCCTTTGGCCCAAGATTCAGCAGTCCAACTCCTACGTAGGTTGGCTTCACTTGGAAGATTTTGGCCTAATGTCTCAACGGTCACCCAACTGCACCGGAGTTCCGATTCGCTGGCTCCCCTAGGCCTCACATCCTTGAGTAAAAGATGCCAACAGATTGGTAGTGTTTTCTTGAGACATTGAGCTAGCTGTGCAGTGTATAGTTGTTTGTTCTTCCCATTTGAATCAAGTCAACTTTCATTCGATTCATGGCTTTCGGGGCTCCCAGGGCAAAGCAATCATACTTCCTGCTGCTAGTCAAGGTTGGCCAAAGAGGAGTATCCCCTCCGTTTAAGGGTCTTCTCGGGTGGAACCCCTTAAGTTGTCGCTTCCGTGCACCGTCTATGCCTTCGTGGGTGTCCAACCAATTGGTCGCAAGAAAGAGGGAAGCGAAGTTGAAGCGACTCGCGACCAGTAAATCATGCCTTTCACCGTGAACCATGCTTGATTGACCCAAAATGGAAGCCAATATGAAACGAAATCAACCATGCTTTCCTGAATGCAAGACCTTCATCCGTCAATAGTTCAACGAGTCTCTTTGGCTGAGCTCCGGAGCTGTGGACCACCCCGTCTCCGGGTTCAGAGGCCGACATGTCACTGGTGCCTTCCTAAAGTGAGGAGAGCGCGCACGCCGCGCGCTCGGTTTGGACATGTCGTGTTTCGATGAGGGCTTGTACAAGCTCAAAAGTGCTTCATCCAGGTGGCGAGGTCATTTTTGTAAGATCTGCTGTTGGGAGCAGCGCATTCGCCCGATGTTCACTTCTGTGTCAGGTTTAAAGTGAGATTCAACGTGTGAACTGTCATGGCACTCCGTTGTTGAGTTACCTTTCCTCTCCTGAAGCTTTCGGGGCTGTGACACGGGGAGCCCTTCCTCGGATATTTGCGCATTTGGGTGTATACAAATACATGCCCTTCTGTGTTGGAGTGCCAGGAAGAGTGACAGTGGTCGCTGGGGTTGTTGTCCCAGGGTCGCTGGTCGTGAACATTTTTGCAGTGCCAGATTTGCATGCGCGATGCCCAAGTTGACGAGGCCTCCTAGGCCCAGGCAGCCCAAGCTTCGACTTTCAAAGCCCAAGATTTGCAGCAAAATTCGCAGCCAGCAGCACCATCCATTGTTACATCGTGTGGCCAGCTGGACATACGCAACTCCGATCCATCGCATAAGACCAACGAAGCTAAGCTAAGCTCGGTTCTGTTTGACAGCAACGGACAGGCAGCGAAAGAGCAGAGATTCTCTGGATTTGGAACTGCTCATTTCTTTATGTGAGTTCTTAAAGATGCTTTTGACTCTCATTTCATTTGAGCAACCTTCCATCAAAATGCCAACCTGCAAAGATGCTCCGCAAGTCCGACGGTGGAGAGGTTTTGGCTCTTGTGCTGTCAGGGGTGCCTTCTGCTATGCCCACAACATGGAGTCTCGCATCGTGGTGAGCCAGCGAAGCCGCCACTGAAAGATCATTGTCTCGTCACGTGAGCTTATGAGCTTCAGTGGAGTAGCTGGTGCTTTCTTGCAAAGATAGTGAAGGTGCCGAAGTTGCCAGGGTGCCAGCTTTGCTTCTTGATTGTTTGCCCCACATTCAGATCAAGTTAAACAAGAACTTGGAAGTCCCTGAGCCCAAGGCCACCCTCTGTGATTTGGGATTGGTTTGTAGTGGTTTGAATGCAAGCAAAAAGTCCTTTGGGTGCGCTTTTGGCAACGAACGCCACCTTTTGCCACTTTCATATCCCTATTGGTCAAGGAAATTATATTACACATGAAGCTGTAAAGCTTCCGAAATGTTGCAGAGAGTCTCAAGTATTCAATCTGCCCTTGGCAAGGGCACTGATTTGCACCACTCAGTGTTTGCATGGTAGTTGTATGCCCAGAGATTGATACCACTCTTCAAGAAGCGAGGGTCGTTTGTACGGAAAATCAGTGGACTGCTCCAAAGGCATGTGGCAAGGGTAACCAGAATCAGGAAAGCCCACAGACGTGCACAAACTTGCAGGCAGAAATCGATTATATATACAAAGAGTGGTCTAGTCTACAAGCAAGGCCCATGACAAACAGTATAGCAAAGCTGTCGCCCCGAAATTCCTGAAGTTCCTGTGACAAGTGTTCCGGCTTCCTGACACGTCGCAGCTGTGCTGCATCGACGTTCGACTGCTTGGATCTTGCGTTGAAGCATCGCCTGCGGGATGCCCAACATGTTCAGAGCCCAAGGATTGCTTGCGCTCATCACAAGTGCTGCTTACAGGCCTTGTGCGCACCAAGTGCCTCACCATGAGCTGAAGAAGCGAGTTGCAATCGTGGTTTTCAAAGACTCTCGCTTGACAGACGTGTCTCTTCTTCACTAACATGTTCAACCGCTGTTTTTGAGTGTGCCCAGCCGGAGATTTGTCACCAAGTGCATTCTTGCTGGTCGGCCAAGCGACTTGCGTGGGAAGTCAGGAGTCAGACTTGCCCTCGCTTCTTGATGCAAAGGCACTTGCAGCAGATGACATTGTCTTTTTCACGATCAAGGGTGCTACTTTTGCTCCTGAATGTCACCTCCAACTGCTGAAGAAGAGTTTGCAAGCTTGTGTACAACAGCATATGTGATACAAACTACATCTAGATCTACTGTTCTCCTCACTTCGTGGCCAGTACAGCTGCTACGATGCGCTGTACTCCTTGACACTCTTTGTGATTCAGCCCCACTGACCTCACTCTGTCCGTCAAGAAACACTTCACCAGCGCAAGCTTCCCCTTCTGTGTGGATAGAAACGTCCAAGGAGCAGATGACTTGAGTCCTGTTTCTCTGTCACAAACGGGAGTGAAACGTCGACCGCAGACATGCTGGATGACATGCAGACCGTTGCTGCGATCACAAGCGGACCGTCTGTGGTTGTCCATTCCGCGACCAGTGGGCGCCGTTTTCAGCATCTCTCGCCCACCTGGTGAAGCACGAAAGCTACCAGCGAGGCGGGGAGTCTGGGAGGTCAGCGGAAGGCGAGGCGAGGAGCGGAAGGCGATGCGAAGCGAAGTCGATGGGCAGAGGTTTCCCCAAACCAACATGTTCGACGGACTTTTCGCAGTTGGTCATTGCTATGGGGATGGTTTAATTATATAGTTGGTCTTCCTGTTTTCAAACCGTGGCAGTCTATCCAGAAATGCTCTTCTTGTTAGCTCGGATGAAGCTGCTACGGATGCTGAGCAAATCTAAACAAGTCTTCTAAAGACTCTAAGTACCAGTACTCACCCTATTTCATGGGTTTATTTTCTGTCTCCTACCTTGAGACCGCTCCGAAGTTCAGAAGCTGAACAGCTCGCCGCGGACTTGCCAGGATTTCGCCGTCCTGGTTAAGACCTGGCTCTGCAGAACCGTGGAAGCGCTGGAGACCGCCCCGTTCCACGTGGCGTGCCTCGTTGAGATCTGTGCTGAGGAATCTGATGGAAGCGCTGCTGAGGACGTGAATAGAGAAGTGGGAGCTTGAATGGAGTGGGAAGGTGTCGTGACTTGCATGTTTTCCCTAAAAGAGGCAGGTGGAAAGCATATCACCCCTGTGAGGTATTTTTATATATATATATATATTGTTCACGAATGATTGCACCTATGGCTTTTGTTCACTGCTCAATCCGTCTTGAGAGATAAGCTGCTTAGAGGTAAAGCACTAATTTCAAAGTCCAAGGTTGGCTAGGTGGCCACAGTATCTACAATTTAAAGGCGGATTGAATCAATGAACACTTTCTGTAAGTATGACATAAGCCCGAAGCTGTTGAGTACCTTAGCAGTTCTTTGTTGGTTATATATATATATATCCCCTTTTTAGTCTTTGTAGAAACTGCCAGCGACGATTTTTTTCGTCACTGTTGTTTCCTGGTCACTAACTTTGAATGTGTGTAATGGATGGCTCAAAGCCTTGATGTTTCCTTGGGTCGGCGAGGCCCTTAGGTTCTTGACCCTTGGCAGAAGAACTGGCTGGTGGGGATTGGCCTGTCCGGCCCACTGTTCGGCTTCGCTGCCGCTCTTGCTCTCGATCTTCATCACAGGCTTCTCCTGTGGCTGCCTGGCCCTGCTTGGATTCTACCTTTGGTTTTCCTTCAGGCCTGGACTTTGGGCCACTGCTCCTGTGAGGGTCACCTCGCCTCCTACTTCGCGCCTGGCGGCGTATTTGCATGAGCGGGACCGCTCTTTCCATTTTGATTGAGGCAGTTCGAGCTGTTTCCCGCTCTTTGCGAGGCCTCGCGGACTCTCTCGACTTTGCTGCTGCTCCTGGTACCTCATCCGAAGTGCGGGCAAGAGCAGTCCGAGCTTGGGAAGCGGGCCCGTGGGCAAAGGCTACTTTGGAACATCGGGTGGCAAAGCCGAGACCGACACCAAAGCTTGCACTGCAGGCCACTTGCTGCATCATCTTGCGAGGGCCAGGCATCGATCGACCAGTACGGGTCTCCTCATCTGCGGAGTACTTCAAGTTGCCCCCTTCCTTTGAGAACTCGGTGTCTCATTCGTTCCCATCGCTTGCAGAAGGGCATACTTACTGTCTTGGAGCAGGACCAGTAGAGATGGCGGCGGAGGTCAAGTACCTAGACCAGGGAGTCTTCCTTGTGCATGTTTTGAGCCTCGACTTTGCTCTCTTCGACCTAGAGGGTCAGGGAGCTTCGCCATTTTATTGATGTCGAGGGCTTCCGGACTTCTTCTTGCCATTCCGTCTTTTTCTTCCCGAAGAGGTGATCACTAAGGGGGAGGAGCGAATGCAGGCGAGCTGGTTGGGCCTCCTACACTCATGACTGTGCCAGCTGTGATTGAGGAGGAGGATGGAACAGAGACTTCTGCTGGGGTCGACATTGCAGTGCTCCTGATAGATTTCATGGGAAGTGGGAGCTTGTCTCTTCAAGAACCACCTCCAGGAGTTTTTGTGGCCAGGCCATTCAGTCCTCTATGTCCTCCAGATTGGGCGGCGACCGCCTTATCTTTTGTGAAGGAGATGGATATCATCAACTCCGCCAAGAAGCCCTTCCTGGGAAGAAGTTTTTCAAGCAGGAAGAGCAGGAAAATCTCAAGAAGAAGTAACCCAGGTACCCAAAGAAGCCAAAGCAAGGTCATCCTAGAAGGTGATGTCGAACAAGATGTCCCTACTAGTCTGCTCTCCCTTTCCGGTTTCTGGTGCCCACGGCATGCGCGAGATACTTTTCTCTGCCGAGAGAAACAGCCCAGTGAGAAGGACCTTTTGCCGGGCGAAACCAAGGCTGCCTCTTCTCCATCTTCAAGGCTGTGGAGGATGATGCAGACCTTCTCATTTTCGAGGTGGGCTAGTTCCCTAGGCTCTTTTGGGATCTTCCTCCGATCTACTCTTACAGCTCAAAGATTACATCCTTGTACATCTTCAACGGCTTTAATTCCTCTTCCAATCCCCAAGCTGGGCATTTTTGAACAGAGGCGATGTGGTTCAAAGGAGAGGCGGAAGAGAAGCTTCGACCAGGCGTTTCATATCTGTGTTATGGCTTTCAACTTCTGGCACGCAAATTTCAAGCACGTGCCCATCGAGTCTTTGTCCAGAGAACTATCGCCGCCCCAGCTGGAGGCTTTGAGGAACCTTAGGAACACGCTGAAGTCGTTTGGTAGCTCTGAGGAGGAGTTTTCCGTTCCGAAGAGTGGCCGCAGAGTTACATCCCTTTTCTCCACTTTGGCCGACCTCTCCCATATCGTGACCTGGGAAGGCCTAGGAGGAGATACCTATTCTCGTGCATTCCAGGGCTCGCCTACAGGAGTTGATGCATTTGTGTCAGCGCCCAGTCGGTCTTTAGACTCTGCCCGACTACAGCTCTTTGGAAAGGCTGCCCGACTACAGCTCCAAAGGCACAAAAGCTTTCCAGCAGTGGAGCACGCAATATGCTGGGACGAGAAGATATGATCGTCGGCTTGCTTCGCTAGCATTCCGCAAGGAGATCATCTTGGAGTTGAGATTGCGACAGAAAGCCATCGAAGCCTTCTTTTCAGTGAGGGCCTGTTGACAGAAGAGAGCGAGCTAAGGTCAGATCGATGCTTCCATGGCGGCCGCCTGGCCACTGGCTTGGTCATTGATGACTACTATATGCAATTTCAGTCGAGAACAGAGTTTGCCAACGCAAAGGAGATGAACCTGAAGAACCATGTTCAGAGGCAAAGGGGATGCTTTTGGCGGCAGGTGAGGCCTATGAGCGAGCAGGCCTTTTGGGATCTCCACTGAAGGACATTGTTGACGAGGAGAGGG